AACCTACCGATTGGGCTATAATGGCTAACGAGCAGCCGTCATTTAAATTTTGATCACGTTGCTACATACGTTCTTATTCAGAATGTTTCCGCTTTATAGTAGTAGATATAATAGTTGTCCATATAATAGTTATAATAGTTGTTTGTGTCGGTTGTCTTTGATTTGGATAAGCGTTTTTAGAATGCCATGTTGTTGGCATGTCGTTTTGGGAATTATATAAGAATAGTCTTCCGTTGCCTTTTCTTATGATTTTGAATTCAGAGATGTTATTCAAAACTAGTTGCTTTACCAAGGTTAGAGAGTGCAGTCTATCAAGTTTTCCAAGAACTGGGAGTTAAACAGAAACAGAAAATTCAAATAAGAGTAGTAATGTAATTTTTTTTCTTTTTTAATCATTTCATTCCATGCAAGGAAATAAAGCTACTATGACGTAAGACGTTACCGAGTGTTAGAAAATATGAGAAAAACTGCTATTAAGGGGAGAGGACAATAAAAGGACAAGTATTAAGAATACAGAAGAAAGCGATTGATAATGCATTTACATTTTTGAAGATCAATGTTGACTGGGAAGTAAGAAGCTGGAAGAGAGTTCCACAAGCGAGAAGTGCGATAGAAGAAACTGTTAGCATAGAACTTGCGGTTACATCTATTTTCAACTGTATAAAGGATGAGACCTTGCCGCCAATCTAGTACTGCGCTGAAATTCCTAAAGTCTAGGTACCATAGAAGAAAGTGATTTTTTTTTGTAATTTATTTTCAAAATGTGGGACAAGGCCAAAATTAGGAAAAAAAAGGATCTTCTGTCTTAACGTTAATCTTAGCTAGCCACAATCATCGACCCTCCTGTCCTGATGCGGCATTCACCCTGGGCGGATTGAGCCGTCATCTTCCTGTTGTGAGAAGAAGCTTCTTGGGATAAATTACAGAAGTAGGGTACCCAGGCCTACTCGGATAACGTTCTTGCTTGCCGCGGGGTTCCCACAGACGCAGAGACAGGAACGACCAGAAGCCGCCGGTTGCCGATGCAGACGCTCCTTGGATTTTCACCAGAGCCCTTGTTAGCCGGCGTGTGTGTCAGACCTGTCCGCCTTGGGTGGCCCTACGTGGAACGAAGTTCCGGACGGCATAGCTCTGACACTACCGTTTACCCCCCCCCCACGACTGTGAGGTAAGGGTTGGAATCATCGACCCAAACATACAGTAATATTTCTGACACTAAAACATTCTTACTTATCTTTCTTGCTACATTCACTATAATACCTCATTGTCTTCATTAAAGTATTAACTAAACCCGATATGTACAATTCATTGTCTGTGGGTAGGGGATAAAATAACAATACCATAGAAGAAAGTTCATCAGGACAATTACCATGAAAGTATTTATAGAAAAGATACAGGTAAGCAACATTACAGCTGTGGGAAAAGAACTGAAGCCGAGATGCCAGACCAGGACTAATAACATTGCAGATTCTTTGCATTTTATCAAGAATTTCAAGAAATATATAGCAGGAGCACCAGACCAGATGTGGCAGCAATATTCAAAGCAAGGATGAATGGTAGACTTATAAATATGTAAGATAGATTCTGGTAAGAAAAATTGTCTATCACGACACAGGGAACCAAATTTGTTAGCTGCACATCTCGCAATCGATTCAATATAATCATTCCATCTATACTGAATCAATCATCAAAATTCAGAATGTTGAATTGATAAATTCTAAACATTTCATACATCTCGTTGACTGGATTAGTTATAACAAATTTAATGTAGGATATAAGGAATTTGAATATAGCGTGGGTTGCACTAATGGTGCTTTCGTCCTCCATCGTAATGGAGCTACAAAATCAGAACGCTGACCTGAAAACTCATGCTCTTAGATAGCCTCTAGATCTAGACCTCCATATGGATGTCATGGCGTTCAACTCGTATCAGAAATGTCTTAACTGTCAACTGTATACAACTGCTTTCTCGGATTAAAATAGCTTCAAACAAATTAATCCTATAAATTTCAAGGGAGACAACCCTTCATCTGACTCGCGCTGCAAGTTTACAAACGAAGAGTTTTACTAAATAAAACAACCCACATCACTTGAACAATTCCAACAACAGCGAAAAACAAAAAAGAAAAGAAAAAAATGGAGAGCCCATGTAACGAGATGACAAAATATTTATATAATCAAGATGTTGACATTCCACACAACCAAAAGCAAAAAGATTGGAAGGAAACTCCAACTAATAATTGAAAGAGCGATCACAGTATACGCAAGAAGTCTAATTTCCTGAAAAAACGTTTCAATAAAAGCATTTGCATAAATTTCAACCGACAAGAATACTGTCTAGAATGTCGAGTGTTTCCTGTATTGAAAACGTTAATTTCAATGATACTGTTATCAATAGTACGCGGTGAACAAAACTTCATTGGTGGAAATTTGAACTTGGCCTGCTGACTCTCTTTTCTGCGTCGAACACCCGGACAGATTTACCAACTGATTGACCGATGGGAAAAATGGTCTTGGTTTAGTTAGTTAGTGAAAGAATGTAAAAGAAGGAAAAAGAGAAGGAAAGAAGAATTATTTCGTAATTTCTCGTTTTCTTTCGATCTTTCTTAAGTTTTTCTTTGTTCGTTCGCCCTTCCCTAATTTCACATTACTTTTCCTTCTCTCGCTAATTCTTTCTTTCTTTTTGCGTCATTTATCGTTATCTTTTTGTTCTCTTTCTTTTTTCTCTCAATCTTCTCTTTCCTTTTTCGCTTTCTTTATCTTTCCATATCTCTTTATTCTTCTTCTTTTTTTTTTGATGAATTCTTTTTCTTTCCCTCGTTATTCAATCTCTCTGCAATCACTTTTTTCGCCCCTGGCGACTTCCCCACAGACACACAGACAGACACACTTTCAACCACAAAAACATACAAGCAACTCAGCTTGAAGGAACGCCTTCAGACACATACACACATGTCGGCATTACAAGCGAGCATCGTGACCTCGTGCAACATATGGCAGCAGGTCTGACGTCACATGTGTGGTCTCCTTGTCTTTGATGTCGACAGTTGGCCCTTCACACGTCAGCTTTTAATGAATATGCACCAATCCTAATCTACCGAATTATCGAGTCAAAGACGCGGACGTTGATTCCTTCGGATTTCTCCTCATTGATGTCACTCCCAGCCTTCCTTCATTCCTTCCTTCCTTTCTTGTCTTATTTTCATTTTTTTTTTTTCTTTTCATAGAGCTCTCGAAATTTATCATTGCTGCAGCTCTCATTGCCCTGAATGATGCAGGTTCGATTCTTGCCGGAAAGCGCAAATTTATTTTTAATAAGATTTCTCGGACATTCAGGCTGGTAGACGATATAAACAGAGCGCCCCCCTCAAATAAGGGTATGCTCTATAAATTACGTTTAAAGTATAAAAAAATCCGTCGGATTAATAAAAAATCCATTCTCTCTCTTTCTCTCTCTCTCTATCATATATATATATATATATATATATATATATATATTATAAATTAACTGATTTAAAATATGGTTTTTTCGCTACACAGTTCTAACCATGTTTCAAAAATGGAAGCTAAAATCTTTCAATTTAATTTTGTAAATCAATTAAAGACATTAGTTCCATTTTATCCTCAAGCGAATTTTGGAGTAACTTATTTTAAAATTTACTGGGTTTTAAAGGCACGGCAAAAATCATAATTTATAGTTTCCAAGGATACAGAGAAATCCATACATCCAGACAAGGTGTGGTTGCGTGTTCATTTTATTAACTTTTGTTGTATCAGTTATTAGTTACGTTTGAAAAAAGGGTTATGCCTAGATGTCAGAATTCGTTGAAAAATACATCCCTACCCCTACCTAATCATATAGGTATATATATAAAAACGTAACCAATAACTGATACAATTAATTTATAATATTAATATATATATAATATATATATATATATATATATATATATATATATATTTATATGAAGAAAAATATACGGAAAAAACAAACAAAATCTTATATACAATTATGCTGTTTTAATGTTAATATGTCATGTCAACGTCGGACGTTTCGGTCTAATAAACCATCTTCAGGACATATTCATAAAACATAATTAATAATATCAATTCAACATATTAATGTTAATTATATTTTATGAATATGTCCTGAAGATGGTTTATTAGACCGAAACGTCCGACGTTGATATATTAACATTAAAAAACAGCATAATTGTATATAAGGATTTTTGTTTGTTTTTTTCCGTATATTTTTCTTCATACTGTCGGATCTATATCCATATATTTGCTTGCACACACACACACACACACACACACATATATATATATATATATATATATATATATATATATATCGAGAGGGAGAGAGACAGACAGACAGACAGAGGAGAGGACGTGGGGCAAACAGTTATTTGAGAAAACGTGTCTGGATTGCCATAAATAGAAAATAACCTAATATCAGGCTTCAAATTATAACGTTCTAATTTCTGTGTTGAGATTGCTAACCTGGATATTGAGAAGGCACATCCCACTCGACGCACTGGCCGCCAACCTAGACGACTCGAAGATAGCCAGCTTCTTGAAAGTGGACAAGCGAAAAGAAGGAACAGCAATTGGCTGTCTGCTGATACCATAGAGACACGAACGGGGATGTAGAGAAAGTTTGCGTTGTCTCTTATGATTGTGAGCTACGAGAAACATTTCAAGCTGTTTCACCGGACGGTTTTAAAATCAATGATACTACCGACATTGGGGTGAGGTGTCCGGTTACATATTGATCCAACCGAAGGAATGTAGTCCATATCAGTGTCAAAGATATGTCGGTGTGTACAATGATCTATGTCTGTTCTTACACACACACACATATACATATATATATATATATATATATATATAGATAGATAGATAGATAGAGAGAGAGAGAGAGAGAGAGAGATGTACAGCAGGTCATAGACAAAAACATCTCTTTCAATGCATATACAGGTACATATAAGGAGAATATGCTGTTTGTATCTATCTCCGTTGGTTCATCTCTCTCTCTCTCTCTCTCTCTCTCTCTCTCTCTCTCTATCTATATATATATATATATATATATATATATATATATATATATATAAAGAAAGAACAGTAAGATATATAATCCGGTGCTCTTATAGATATTTTTATTTTTACAAAATAGTGCTCAATGTAAATTTACAGAGCATTATTATTATAAATCAATTGATTTAAAATATGAGTTTTTTCGCTACACAGTTCTAACCATGTTTCAAAAATGGAAGCTAAAAGCCCCGAATTTAATTTTGTAATTAAATTAAAGGCATTAGTTCCATTTCATCCTCAAGCGAATTTTGGAGTAACTTTTAAAATTACTGGGTTTTAAAGACACAGCTAAAATCATAATTACGTGAATTATGATTTTAGCTGTGTCTGATTCCAAGGTTACAGATAAATCCACTTCCACTAGACAAGGGGTGTTTGCGTGTTCATTATGTCTGTATTTTGATGTATCCGTTATTAGTTACGTTTTGGTAGCGGGTAGGGATTTATTTTTCAATGAAATCTAACATCCGTTAAATGCATGTCGTCTGGATTTTTTAAAAATTTTATTGTTAACGGCAAAAATTCTTACGGTATTTTTTCCTATTTGTATATTTAAAGATTTTTGGGGGGGTGTTTAGGTTAGAAAACGTTTTATTTAACTACGATTTGAAATATTTTCACTTTTAATTTTTAATATACTATATTTCTTTTAAGAACAATTAAATGTAATGAATATCGATGAATATGCTCATAGATAGATATGAATCTCAGTCGATTCCTATCTATCTATCTATGAAGAAAAATATGGAAAAAGAAAAATCCGAATATGCCAGTATGCTGTTTTTATGTTGTTTCAATGTCGACGTCAGACGTTTCGGTCTAGTAGACCTTCTTCAGGACATAGTTATTAAAACATAATTAAAATTAGATGATATTCAAGTCAACACGAAAAGACGATAGACATAAGACTAATCAAAACTGAATAACTGAAATTTTTAAGATCAGCCTTCCGTTTCGCAATACGATCATGTCGGCGTCACGTGGGTGATGGTGTGAAAACGTATTCGTAAAATAGAGTATATTTTAAATGAAAAAGAATTTTATTTTAATCTAAAATTCATAAGTACGTTTGTCCAGCATTAATCTTGCCAGAAAAGGGGAAATATTAAAGAAGCCGGGTCTAGTATTCACCGTGCGTGAGATATTGTAACAACATTAAAACAGCATATTGGCAATATTCGGATTTTTGTTGTTCCATATTTTTCTTCATACTGTCGGATCTATATCCAAATATTTGCTTACTATCTATCTATCTATCTATCTATCTATCTATCAGTCTGTTCATATCTATCTATCTATCTATCTATCTATCTATCTATCTATCTATCTATCTATCTATTCATATCTATCTATCTATCTATCTATCTATCTATCTATCTATCTATCTATCTATCACTGATTAACGCTTTACACTTTCTTTTTCTTTCTCTTTCTGTCGCTCTTTCTTTCTCCCGTTCTTCTCTTTTTCACTCTTTCTCCTCTTTTTTCTGTCTTCCCTCATCTTTCTTTCCAGCCTTCTTCTCTGTCTTTCTTTTTTTTTCTTGCATCCTCCCACCTTTTTCTCCCCTTCTCTCTCTCTCTTTCTTCTCTTTCCCCTCTCAGAAGGATTTTTCTCTTTCATCCTTCCTTCCTTCCCGTCTCTCTCTTATTTACTTGCTAGCTTACTTCTCTCATTCTAATTCTGTCTCTCTCTCTATCTATCTATCCTTGTCTCTTCGTTATCTATCTATCTATCTATCTATCTATCTATCTATCTATCTATCTATCTATCTATCCTTGTCTCTTCGTTATCTATCTATCTATCTATCTATCTATCTATCTATCTATCTATCTATCTATCTATTATCCTTTTTTTCTTCGTTATCTATCTATCTATCTATCTATCTATTCATCCATCCATCTATCTATCTATCCTTGTCTCTTCGTTATTCATCTATCTATCTATCTATCTATCCATCTATCTATCCTTGTCTCTTCGTTATCCATCTATCTATCTATCTATCTATCTATCTATCTATCCTTGTTTCTTCGTTATCTATCTATCTATCTATCTATCTATCTATCTATCTATCTATCTATCTATCCTTGTTTCTTCGTTATCTATCTATCTATCTATCTATCTATCTATCTATCATATCTATCTATCTATCCTTATCCTTGTTTCCATCTTCTATTATCTATCTATCTATCTATCCTTGTTTCTTCGTTATCTATCTATCTATCTATCTATCTATCTATCTATCTATCTATCTATCCTTGTTTTCTTTATCTATTATCTATCTATATCTATCTATCTATCTATCTATCTATCTATCTTGTGGTTTCTAATTAATACCCAGTGACCAGAATTATGCCTTACACCCCGACATTTTAACATATTTCCCTCCGTCGAACAAACCATTCTCCAGTTCATGTCTACCATCTTTACTCGAGAAAGAAAAATTTTACCTGAATGATAAGAGACAATAGGCGGCTTTGCTTTGCATGAGGGATTCTAGCTCGTTATTCGAGGAGTGAAGAAAGAAAATTCAAGGCTTCCTCTTTCAAATGACTCATGTTATCGATATCAAGTCAGGTAAAAAAAAAAAAAAAAAAAAAAACAAAAAAAAACGAAAATGTAAAGAGAATCAGTGGGTTCAGCCGTTGAAAAAAGCCCCGTAAAGACATATCTCATGATCCTGAAATATTTTTTAAGCAATTCACCCCAAGGAAGGCGGGAGTGCCACTAATACGCCGAGCAATGACTGTGTATAGAGGGGGATTGAGGAAAGGTTAAAAGAAGAACCGGGATCAAAGCAAAAGAAGATGTCGATTGACGTTGCATTTAAATGTTTGAAGATTGTAGTTATCAGGGAAGCAAGTAAGAGGAAGGGAGTTCCACTGTCGGGAAGCGCAAGAAAAGCAACGGCTGGAGGGTGGGACCTAGATTCCCATCTAGTAGCACGCTTAAATTCATGTAGTCGGGGCATCAGGGAAGATAGTTCATCAGAACAGTTGCCGTGGAAATATTTGTAGAAAAGACAGAGGGAAGCCACGTCACGTCTGTGAGAGAGGGACTGAAGTCGAGATGCCAGGTCAGGACCGTTTACATTGCAGATCCTTCTTTGGACTTTGTGGAGAACCTCCAGATAAACATCTGGGAAATCAGACCAGATATGGCAACAGTATTCAATATGCACGGACGAATGGTAGATTTGGAGATGCTCAAGCTGGACTCTGACGAGAAAATATGCTAAGGTACTCCGTTTTATCCGCGGGGGTATATTTCGAGACCAGATGCCTATAAGCGTGGATAATACTGGCGCCTACATCATACTTATTATAAAACGAAGATTGTGTGTGTGTGTGTGTGTGTGTACGTTTATATATTGGATTGGATTTCCTACATTTTTCAACCGATTGCAACAAAACTTCACAGGACTACGTAAAATTACCTTGCGGTGGTTCTGACAGCGCCAAAAATTGGTAAAACACAATTGTTTTTGCACTAAATCAATTTGAAAACACGATTAAGAGGCATCGCGAGAATGAAAGGGAGACAACTCATATCGAGTTATACTTATTATAAAACCCAGGTTGTTTATGTGTATGTGTGTTCGTTTATATATGTGATCGGATTTCCTACATTTTTCAACCGATTTCAACAAAACTTCACTTTTTATTTTGGCAGGTAGTGTTTCTTATTGTCTTGCACACTTTTTTCTTTATTTTTACATTCTGAATGCTTTAAAAATTCCATTTGCAAGACAGAATTGTTTATAATAAAATTCTATTCAATCGATAGACTCATAACGATTGAAAACAATGTTTTTGTTTGTGTTTGACCAATTCCTAAAAAAAAAAAAACTAATTAAGACATGTGCGTCCGTCAACCTTAAACAATAATCTTTGTCAATTTTATTTTTCAGTGCTTATGATGGTCGATACTTGATCTATCTCTTACTGTTACATACCCCGGGCAACGCCGGGATCTAGTGCTAGTCTAGTATATATAGAGGATACGATGGATAAATTGTCTTTAAATTACGCAAAAATGAAAAATAACACTGACATCTCGTTATATAATATATATAACAAAATTATATATATATACATAACAAAATATTTATTTATTAATATTTATTATTTTGTTTAATATATATTTAACAAAATTAGACCAAAATATATTGAAATACTAAAGAGTAAATTTATTCAATGAAATCGCCATTGGCTTCAACCACAGCCTAATGATGACTTTGGAATCTCCTGCATCTCTTCTGGACGGTCTCCTTGTTTAAGTTGGTGAATGCTACCATAATCCTTGCCTTCAGTTCATCTTTGGAATTACAAGGAGTTTTGTTGGTCTCTCGCTCAACTGCACCCCACACAAAATAATCAAGGGGGTTGCAGTTTGGGGTGTTAGGTGGCCAGATGTAAGGGATGATGTGGTTGCAGAAATTGCCTGACAATTATGACTGGCTTCTGTGGAAGGGTGCAGTTTCCAGACATAGGGTCTTCCAGCAGCTATACTCTTGACCCAGGGTAGCACTACCTCCTCAAGTCACTTGATGTAGATCTTTGTGTTCAGTCTGAAGCCTTAGCCAACAAATTTGAGAGTTCTTTTCTTATCAGAACGATCAGAGTGAGTTTTCCGAGCTGACGTACCTTCGTAATTATCATTAGACTCATCCAACTCTTTCCGAATCTTCTGTACTGTCGTCAGATTGACACCCAAAACACTCTGAAATGTTCGTATTGGAGTTTCCGGCGCGAATGCCAAGCAGTACAGCATGCCGTTTCCAAATTTCTGGCGGAATGAATTGCGTCATGGTGCACTTTTTCTCATAGACGGTGCCCAACTGACCCTACTATACTGTGCAGTCTGCGAAATCAAAAAGAAACAACGCGCATGCGCGAAATTAAAAAAATATAAAATATAAAGTGGCGCCAATTTACCCATCGCACTGTGTGTGTGCGTATACATATATATATATATATATATATATATATATATGTATATATAAGTGGACTCTGGGGTGTGTATATATATATATATATATATATATATATATATATATATATGTATATATAAGTGGACTATAAACGGAGACAGGCAACACAACATACGTGGCCTGAAGATTGTGTTGAAGTATGAAACAGACTGTCGTAGCTTGGTGTTGACCCCGGTGTCCACTTTTATAGTTACATACGCTCTATCTTTGATATCGAGCACTTTTACCCATAAATATAGCATACCTTAAAACTATATTTGTCTCTTTCTGTCTCTCGCTATGTATGCGTATGTGTATGTTTATCTTTTTCTATACATTCATATCTATGATAAGATTTAACTTATCAGTTGGATACAATAAGAGATTAACAACAATAAGACATTAGACAATATTTACATCTTTGTACGTGTCTTCATCTTTATATATCCCACTTTTTCCCACTATTTTCACCACCTTCGAAAGAGCTTTGCGATTCCATTGTCCCGGAACTTGGTATCTTTTGGGATGAGTGGCTGCTCTAAGCGGTAATTTACAGGCTTCAAGAAAACTGAAATTTTGATTCGATTAACAGAATTTTATAGAGATTGAAATAAGTCGTAATCCGAAGTTGCAAGAGCACGTAAGTATGGTAGGTATAGTTGAATATTCCAACGAAGCTCTACCAATTTCTACCGGGTCTGCAAACAGATCTAGTGTTGTCCTGATTTGAAAAAAGACAAAAAAACAAAACAAAAAAACGACACCCTTCCGATTGGCCAATCCTGGACGTTGTTCACCGATTACCGCTTTTAATTGGTGCAATTGGGAACAATACTTTGTCTGAATTCAACGCCTGAGTTTACGAAAGGAGCTCGTAATACAAATTACCCTTCCAACCCCACAAGCAGCACACCAGATTTTTAAGTATTTAAAGGTTTAATGCATTTTACTTTGCCACTAATTGTTCTTTACCAAAATAGATCTTTTTCTTCTGCATCGGTGCAGAGTTTCGTAGATGAAAATGTGGTCCATCTAAATGTTTCTTTTCAAATATACAAATCAACCATTCGACCTTGCATGGAGTATTGCTGCCATATATGGTCTGGTGCACCTTCTGTTTACCTCGGGGTTCTTGACAAGATCCAGAGACGGATATGTAATATAATTGGCCCTGATCTGGCATCTCGTCTACAGTTGCTCTCTCACAGACGCGCCGTCGCTTCTGTCTGTCTTTTTTACAAGTACTTTCATGGTAATTGCTCCGACGGGCTGCTTTTACTGGTTCCCAGACTTCAAGAATTCAAACTCCCTACGAGGCTGGCATCCCGCTCTCACCCTTACACTGTAGAAACTACACTGTAAATGTAGCCGTCTCTTCTACTCCAATAGCTTCATACCTCGCACATCTCGCCTGTGGAACACCCTTCCCTATTACTGTTTCCCTGAGAGCTATAATCTCCAACTATTCAAATGTAATGTCAATCGACATCTCCAGTTGATCTTGAAATATCCACTATCCTTCTCCTCATCCTTTTTTCTATCACTTCTATCTGCTCTCGCTCCAAATTTTCTGCAACCCCCCTGCATCCTAGTGGCTTCACGCCTTGCTCGGGGCGTAATGCTTAAAAAAAAAATGGTGAGGTAACCAAACATTGTAGCGTTTCATGTTTTCAAATGCCTTCCAACGCTCATATGAGATACGTGGTGTATCTCTGTGATATCCCGTGTCTTTTCAAACAGGATTTCGATTTGCTCATCATCAACAACTACAGCCCTGACAGAATATTTTCGCTCTTCCAGATCAAAATTTCAACTTCTGAACCTAGTGAACTACTTAGGAACAGCGCTCTCAGCTCTAGAACCAACTCCCTAATTTATTTTTTTCCTTCCCGGAAATAAATCCAATGGCGAAAACGTATCTTATTTTTTCTCCATTTTCACTTTAAACGTAGTTTACGATTAACATCACGTTGAGACACCTATTCCGGTATGTCGAGTCTGATCAGTAACCATATGGATGACCGCTTGGGGACACCAGGTGCCTTAAGCTTGGGTGTGTGGGTGGTGTAATGAATAATGGCTTGGAATTGTTAATCGAAGAGCCGAGTTCCAACTCCCGTTGTGCTTGTTATATCCACTTAGGTAAATACCCGTTGGGAAAGTTATAAATCCACCTCTTCTACCGCCATCTATTTAGTATCACTAAACCATTATTCTTCCCCACACCCAGCAAAAAATTTCTTACAGTCTAAAAATATTTTCTGGCTTTAAATAACCTGCATAAGGTCGATAAGCCGTAGAAAACGAATCAATCTATCACTTTAAGCGAAAGAACATTTTAAATTTTACAATCCACAC